GGGTTCCCTTTTAGCAGCGGCTCGGCAACGAGCGCGCAGTAATTTCGTAATAATAAAAAGCGTGTCGGCTCGCTTTACCTCCGGCGTGCAACCTGCTGAGCGGCTTAATGGGGTCCTCTTGTTTCGTCGGACCTCCGTTTCTTCTCCTTCTCTCTCGATCCTCGTCGCTCTCACTGTCCTCGCGACATGTTTCACACTAGAAAAGATAAACGCCCCGTATACGCTCTTGTTTCCATTTAATTTGCATTCACTTCGCTGCGAGAGGCCGTCCTGCTTTCTGACCACCCCTTTTCTCAACTTCTTCGCTTTTTTAATTGACAATCCCTTCGGTCATTACTGTCTACAGAATTCTTCATCATTATTTTTATTATTTTAATTCTTAACGCGGATAATGAATTCTCTCTTCACAATTCTATCTTGTAAGAATATTTTTAAAAACTACTATATTGATCATTTGAATTTATTTTCCATTAACCATTTTGTAAATATTATAATAACTAAATTAATAAAAAAAAAATAATACACGCTACAGTATATATAAATCTCACATATATACAATGTAAAAAGATTATAAAAAAGAATATTATCTTTCTCTAGTTTTTTCGATATTAGCAATTAGATAGCAAATGAATTATGAAAGTTGATTATTAAATAATTGTAAGTAACGATCATTGAAAGCGTAATATTATTGCTCATATCCGCAGGTACAGTTTTATCGTTATCCCTCGTAACATTTTTTTGTTCAGATTCTCGCACCAGAATACGCGAAACACCCTCGTGCAGATTATTTCTCTCATTTGCATTGTCGCCGCACCGCAGGAGAGCACCCTTTGCCCGATATTGTCCCCGCTTGTCCTTAGTCCTTTCTGGTTATCTCCATCGATGAAGTCGCGAACGGGAAGCGCCGAAGGGTGCAAACGAGTCTCCGCGTGCGCAATAGACGGTCGGCTGCACGTTGCATACGTTTATTTCCTCCAATTAACCCTTCGGGATTCGTCGAAGGCCACGCGACTGTCGCTAACGACCGCAATGTTTACAGCGGCAACGAAGACACAACGAACACTTCGCTACGGCGAACCTCACGAGAATGAGCTTGCAAATGCGCTTGATTGGCTCGCGTGAATAAAAACGACGGCGCTTTCGCGTTAACCCTGGTGATCCCAATCGTTTATTTCTTCAAGTTATTTACGGAATATTTTAGAGAAAAGAACACACGAGATATCACGATCAAGTGATTCTTTTTTTTCATGTAGAGTGGTATACATAGATCAGATTACCTTTAATCAAAACGTAGAAAAAATAGTAGAGGTTTTTAGTAAAAAGAAATTTTAAGGAATTTTGAGAATTTATCGCGTATTTGCAAAATTCGTTACCACTGAATCTCTCTCTCTCTCTCTCTCTCTCTCTCTCTTTTTCTTGGACCACTAACTTTGAAGAACATACTGATATTGATATTTCAATTTTGAAAAAAAGCTTATGTATTTATTATTTATCAATTATACTTCTTACAATGAATAGAAATGTAATAATTATCATCGTAATCGGAAATATTTTTATTCTCTCATGGATGATTGATAAATAAAACTCTTAGGTGATCATACTGCATTACGTATTACAAACAATAAGCGTTGCTAGTTTGCTGCATGCCTTGTTGAATTCACGCGTGTCAGATGCAGACCGCCAGCGTGATATAACATGGCGTTACGTGAGTTTGACGAGAGGGCGGCGGGCAACCGCAAACCCTCGTCGTTCCCCATTCCCTTGAATCCGTTCAACTAATATTTCAATAATGTTTCAATCATTCACGAATTTGAAAAGCGGCACAACGCTCTTATTGTTCATCGAGCGCATTCGTCGTTTACAATACGCTTTCGTTCGAAGAGTTGCCAGTTTTTTTTTCCGAAAATGAACAAAAAAGGAAAAAAAAATTGAAAAAGTGATCGTGCGACACGATGAATATCTATCGTAAAAATTTCACCGCGCTATGTTACGATATGTCGTTAGCAATCAATTGGAAAAACGATTCGATTTTTAACAAAATACCGCAGTTTTGCAAATACCACGCTGATTTTATTTACTACCTCTTCTCTCTTATTATGGTTGATTCGTACATATATAGAAAATAGTTACAGAAAGTTCAAGTTTAACTTTATGTTTTTCTATCACAACAACCCATAATCATTCTACGTTTGTTTCACTGCAACTTATTGTATCATGTACACCAGTTTATAGAATGCAAGAATATACAAAACAGACCTAAAATTATAATGATACAGCAGCGCTGACAGCGCGCGTTCCACAAACGCAGTCTATATGTCATTTAAATATTAAATACTTTTGCGAAAGTGTTCAAAATGAATAATTAAAATCAAAATATACCCCGTGTACATACAGATATGTATTGTATATACATGTATACATATGAGTATATGTTTTTGTATTTGTGTTCATGTATATGTATGTATACATATATTATATTTATAAACATGAGCAAATAAACAATTGTAGCTGTTCAGAATGAACGTCAACCAAGGAATACTGCCACCATCAGACCGGAAGCGCTCGTAGAGATGGATCAAGAACGAGCTCTACGCGAAGCTGCCGTCGCCGTAGGTGTCTTTGGGTAAGTAATTATTTGTTTAATTCTATATAGTTACTCTGATTAACTTGCTAATCTAATCTTATCGCTGTATGGTTACATTTAAAAAATAAATTATTAAACATTAGAAATCAATGATTAAAAAAAAAGCGGAAGAGTCAATAGCTGAAATAAACGAGATTGTGTTCAACAAAATCTCACTAAAACGTATCGCTGAGTTATTAACCATAACTGAGACCATCACACAAATCGGCGATGTTATCTCGAAAACGTATCCGAAACTCTCGGAACGCCATTACTTCGAAAGGGCAAAAGTGTTGAATGTTGGCATACTTGCGAATCACGTTTTCAAGACTGTACAAAATTTCAATATAGACACGGTCGATTAGAGAACGGTAAGCGATGGAGACAACGATCGATAATCACTTGTCGACGGATGCAACGGCAAGAGCAACGAGGGCCGACGACGTTGTTGGCACGTTTGATCTTCTGCTGCGCACCAAGCTTACCTTTCGCCGTTGTGAGCGACACGCCGAGCGTGATCTATCATGAAAAATTACCTTTGACTAGCAGCCCGAGGCATAGCGTTTTTCAGGTAACCGGCTGTCCAGGTTGGAACTAATGGAAAATCCATAGAGCGCCAAGGGGTGAATGTTAAAAGCGACGGTTGGCGTCCTGACGCGGCGCAGCGCGTCATTCTCGGCGAGTTATCATACCGTGCGCGTTACACAAGCGACCAATCTTCCTGTGATATAAGCTTATTCTCACTTCAAGAATGTAACAAATTAATCTGTGTTACATTCTTAAACATTTAAAAAGTCAAAGGATTGAGAGTCGAAAGGGATACCTCCAGAAGAATTTTTTGATTAATAAATCGTGTATATATATCAAATCAACTAATTTCTACAAATTTGCAAGAGGAAATTTTATATTTTAATACAAAATATGTAAAAGATTACTTTTTTTTTTCTATAGTTGTAGTATAATTCAATTAATTCAAAAAAGTTTAACAAATTTAAGTTGGCGTCGACTGGGACGTTTTAAAAAATTGTGAAACAAAGAATTAAATGAGTTAAAATGGAGCATCTTTGATAATGGATGCGTATCTGTGTTAATGCTAGAGTTTGAAACGTATTTACGTAATTGGATATATAATCTGTGTATTGTTATAAAACGATTCACACTCCGGCCATTTGGTTCTACAGAACGATTTGATACGAATCATGAGAGAAGAGAGAGATCGTTTCTATTAAAATCAACCATTCGATCGCGTAAACATGAAGCTTTGAAACTTGCATTGGAGCAGACAAGCGTATAATCGTCAATAACCCCAGAATCTATAATTACACATAAATTAATGTCGACTCGAGGTTATTGTTACAGTTATGAGCTGACTATAATCTGCTTCATTGAGAAGACAAGACCGAGAATGACAAGAAGATATTAATCGTGTTGTAATCAGAAAGAGTTATCTTACTCTCTCGTTGCAAGAAATATTTACACAAAGTTTTACGGAAATAATAAGCAATATTTATTCCATGTACAATAAAGAGCTAAAAAAATGTGGCTATAAATGGATTTGAGCATTACACGCTTTTCGTCACGCGAGTAATCGAAACTTCCTAATAAATAACATCACTTTCCGACTACAGATTATGCATTTCGTCAAAGTTTATTTAGAAGTACTAACTGATATTCTTAACTCATTGTCAGTAATTATCTTGATCATTTGTTAACTATTTGAATAAGCAATTTGAAATAAACAATTTATCTTTTACATTTTGCGTTATTTGTTACTTTTATTTTCTCTGAAGAATATCTGACGATTAAGTATGGCACAACAGAGATGAATGTGTACCTCACAAATACGTTTTCCTATATAATTTTCAAATAACCGTCGTGTAATCGCGTATTAAGATGATTAAATAATTTCAGATCTTTTAGTCATTTTAGTATATATATAAAAGTGAATTGTAGTCTTTCAATTTTTGTTTATAGTTATACCAATTTTGCAAACCCAGAAATATATATATGTATGACGAAATGGAAACAAAAATTATTTACTTCTCAAATAGTACAAAGAAAAGACGTCTATTAATAAATATCTAAAGAAGAGTCTCTCTTCCGCGCTTTTACGACACTTCACTTAGAAGTTTATGATATTCAAATCAAAATTAATAGCAAAGAGATTGCGCGGAAATGAAGTATCCCTTAAGTAACAGAAGGGTTAAACGCAGCATCTCTGCGTGTGTATGTCTCTACGCACAGTGTATTCCTGTATAATATACGTGTACAAAATATATATATATATTATACGTCTCATGTGTGAAACTTCCAAATAGAGGCTTTACTACACGACTATCTTTGCACGATCGTCGAATTCAGCCGCTCCGTATCGCGACTAGCATAAGTCAATAGCATCACCGCTAATGATGCTTGCGAAGATCGCTCGGGCTCGATCAGCGGACGACATCGATTTATCGATCTCGCGACACCGATGATGCAGTTCATTGTTCTCCGGACACTCGCCAATCTTTCTCTCAAGATATGTCGCCGGAATCGGCATCATCGATCTTACGTCGCTCTCAGATTTGACAAACTTTTGCGCGCTGTCCACGATGTATTGCGGCAATTCGGCGTCCACCTTGTAGACGCCCCGTTTGAGATTCTCTGACTTGGTCTGCCTAATGACGGATGTTATGCATCGCTTAATGTCTGCGCTTACGATTTGCTGCGATTCCAATGTCCTGTCGTACGGATATTTGCCGGCAACGTTCTCTAATAGCTCTAGAAGCCGATCGAATGACAAGCATATCTCGTCCAAGGACTGCTGGCTGACTAGCAGGTAACCTCTAGTCTCGTTTTCCTTCTTCTGCAGAGCACATTCCAGCTTGACCAAGTTGTCTTGTGCCGATCGCAGGTTCATCTCGGCGGCTTCGCGACGCGCTCGTTCTTCAACAAGCAAAAGATCGGTTCGTTTGGTCTCCTTCAGAAGACGATCGTGTTCTGCTTGAGCTTCCGCCAATTGCCTGAGAATACATTGGATTTCTTCTGAATCACTCTGCTGGTTCACACTTTGCATACCAACGTCTATCTTGGGAGAATCAAAACTCTTCAAACTTGTCTCGTCGGAACATTTTACGGTATCTTTGTGTTTCGATTGCGCCCCGACGTCGCAATCGACGCGATTCACCGCGGGCTGAATACGAGATTGAAGATCCAAATGAAGAGAGACCTTGGGCATCGTTCGTACATTGTTGATCATTTGCGAATGGATTGAATCGCGTTGTTGAGTTATATTACGAAAGTCCGGCGGTAAAGGTCGAATCTTCATTTTTGTCGATAACAGCGATATTGGAACTGTTCTTCTCGGTGGAATTATCTGACACGGTCGCTTTGTGTATTTAGTAAAGACACTTCGCGCTTTCACAAGCTTCGTAGTGTCCTCGTTCTCACTACCTCTTCGAATATCAGTCGATACGATTTTCTTATCCTTTGGCGTTAAACCCATCCACTTGTATTCCGATTTTCCCTCAACATCATTCTTCACTAATCTTCTCATCACCTCCGTCGCGAGCTCGTCGTTTAGGTTCACGTTCTTCCTCACGTCGAGTACTATCAGCGTGCTATTCTGGTCAAGTAAGTTCAGCAAATCCGCGCCGATTTGATCCGTCAAGCCACAATGCTGAAGATCCAGCGCTTTCATCCACAAACTGTCGCGTATTGCCTCAATCATTTCCATAACGGCGCAATTCCCCAGATGCGGATTATCGTTTAACGTCAGCCGACGTAGCCCAGGCATCGTGTCGAAATTGGGCTCGCGGTATCTCAGCGATTGTTTCCAGGTGTCGTGGTACAATGCCAATTTCTGTCTTGAGAGCGCGGACGCTAATGCGCTGCCACTGCTCGGTGTAAGGTCGCAGTAACTAAGATTCAATGACTTCACGCTGCGTATGTCCGCTATCGTTCGACAGATCAATTCGCAGCCGTTGTCGCCGATGTAACAACGTCGAAGAGATAAATGATGTAGAGTCTGTGTTCCCGACAGGCCAACGCAGAGCACCGCAATGCAATCCGGTGGAAATGGGATACCTTCGAGTTCCAAGTGCGTGAGACTGGGTGAATTCCTCACACATTGGCCGATACTCTGTGACAGCCACTCCAACAAATAACGTGTGAGAACCACCGGAGCTTTACCCATTGCTCGCGCTTTATCCTCGGAATTAATCTCTTCTAACGGTTTGCGGCATTGATACCTGGCAGAAACTTTGTAGCATAAGTATTTATGACTTTTTTATATCGAGATTGTGAACGAATTTAAGGATAAATTATATACTTCGCTGATATGTATCCTCAATATCATTTGTTGCAAGTTTAGGGTGTACTTTGAAATAAAAGATTGACACGATAAAATAAAAAGGAAATAATTAAAATATATTTAAACCAAATATATATTTAGCGTAAATAAAAAGAAAAATAACACTTAAATGTATGTGCGAATTTTTGGTCACAAGCACCTAAAATAATACCATCGGATTTGCAACCAGTACATAAAGATCAATTAATGAACATTAAAGATAAAAGAGGAATAAAAAGTATCAAAGTCAATTTGATTTGCAACCTGCTATGCACGCTGATGGATTTGAGCGAGCGATCGAGAGAAAGTGAGTTCAAGATCGGTCTCCAGTCGTCCATTTTGATACGATCGGTAGTGAAGTCCAGATTATGTGGCAAGGTCACACATATCACCGGCAACGGTCGCAATCGTTGCTGCTTACACAGTTCCATATAGCAACTGGCGAAGTTTCTGCCAGCCGGAATCGCCATTCTTTGTGGCGAACCCGGTCCGACCGCATCGATCTTCCGTCGGTGTCGCGACGGAATCTCACCCTCGAGCGTCGTAATGGTGCCGATAATTTCGCCTCCAGAATTACGAATTACCTCGTCCGTTGCTGTAAATCGATACAATATAGCGACACGTCTTATTTCTAGACACATACTTAGCTAAATGCCAAAATATATTTAAAATTCAGTACAGTCGAGAAACAGGAAATTTACCTTTGCCGTTGCTGCTTTGCTTGAGGATCAACCGCGATCTCACCGCGAAACGTCATCTGCACCATCAAATTTGCAATGGAAATAACTGCGAGAATTGGGTTCGTTAAAAGGAATCTTATTATGAAAGCATCGATGGCGTTTCCTCCTTGATCGTTTTCTTAGGGATTACAATAGTTGTTCGCCGACCAACCTAACTAAAACCGATGGAAAATATCCCTGCATGGAACAAGACGAATCTATAAACGAAACACGCGTACGACCTGACTGAAGATATCGTCGCTTGCACAATCGTTGTATGCATACATTTAATACTTTTAACTTATTACCAGATCGAGTTTGCATTTGGAAAATTATAATAACACAATTCTAGTAATCTTTTTAAATAGACGATTAATATAAAATAAAATTTCCTCCGTGTCTTTTACAGCATTTAATGATGTGATAATATTGTATATAATTAAAATATTTTTGAAATACATATCGTGCATATTTGCGTGTATTTTTTATAACGGAACATATTGTGATATAGAAATTATCAATTCTTTATACTATACATACTTGTCAATTATTATTATTCAAATACTGTTATCTTTTATGTCATGAATTATTTCTCAGACCGCCCGTATCCTTGGCCATGGCGAGATATACTACGCCACTACCTCTGCCTACAGTCGCACCGACGACAAATTCCGCAAACAACGCAACAACACCACCTCGGCAAGAAAACGAGGACGGTATGCATTTAAATGCAATTGTTATGCTTATAAAAAGTTATTAACTTTTTTTAAGATAATAAAGCTGTTACTTTTTTAAGATGATAAAAAATAACACTTGCAAGAGCTGAGCAAAATTAATAAGAAGTATGTGTAATAAACAATCGTTTTATTCACCGTATTCGTCTTAAGAATGTTCAATAGATATTTCAAAATAATGAAAAAACATTATGATAAAATTATTCTATCTAAATCGCACTTAAAAGTAATACAACTCTTCTTTTCACTCAAAACAAACATTCTAAATTTTTGTATAAGTCATTTTAAATACGCACTTATATAAGAGCGCTAGGATTTTTATTATTTTTTACTAAGTTTTTAGTTTACAATAATAAAAATCATAACAAATAAAGTAAATAATCTATTTAAAAATGTGTTGTTCAATAAAAACAGAATGTAATGAACACAACTTTCATATATATATATAATTTGTTTAAAGTATAAATATTAACAATAATAAAATTGGAAAATTATATAAATATTAATATATATGTGTGTGTGTGTATGTATGTGTATATGTATATACTATGTATACATTTGTATGAAATATTCTTGAAACTCGTATGACACGCTGCTTCTGACCTTACCTTTTACATAAATTTGTGCGAGTATCGTTTCCGAATCTTGGCCATTCACTATATTGTCACCGTTATGGAAATTGTATATTTGAATAAAGAAAAAGCTTTGCGTCTAAACAGGAAACGCTTCCGAGGACAGTATAGATGTAACAAACGAGGAGCCGTTGACGCCTCAACGAAGCGGATGCACCCAGCTTCCACCGGTGCTGCCGTCCTTATATTCACCAGCGAGTGCTGAAACGGTTTACGAGACTAGCGCAAGATTGCTCTTCATGGCAGTCAAATGGGCGAAGAATCTTCCCTCTTTCGCTGGTCTGCCATTCAGAGATCAGGTAATGATTTTATCAAAAGCGATCTATCCGTATCTTCCAATATTTATTTATTATAAATTTAACATATCCTTGTATATATTTTATTTGCACAATTTTTTTTGATAATTCATTACGATGTACATAAATATAGTAATCGTGATGATAGAAGTAAAAAATATTAGTTAGGCTAAAGAATTCATTATATATAAGGAGGAAAATTCACACATATTTCTAACAGTACTTTACAGAGGTAATGAATATAGTTATAGATAAACCGCAAACCTGTATTTATTGCGCAGGTAATATTACTAGAAGAAGTTTGGTCGGAGCTGTTCCTACTAAATGCAGTTCAATGGTGTCTGCCGCTTGAATCTTCGCCTCTCTTTAGCGCCGCTGAGCTTACTGCTCTGACCCTCTCGCCTCACCCGCATCCGCATTCGGGGTTGCATCTGCAAACCACTACGGGAAAGCCCAGCCAAGTGGCGGCGGATGTTAGACACTTACACGATACCCTGCAGAGATACAAGGCGGTCATGGTCGATCCTGCGGAATTCGCTTGTATGAAGGCTATTGTCCTCTTTCGCCCAGGTTAGTAATTCTTGTCTTTGATTTGCCTCGTTTCGCACAACGCTGATTTTGCGAGTTTATCTTTAACGTTCTACTATTTAATTTATTTTCCTCGATATTTAATTGTAAACTGTATTTTCTCTCTCTTTTCACCTTCGTGTCATTTTCCATTAATCTGCTTGATTTCGATAAGAGTGCAGTTATGAATATATACATACATTCAAGGAATTTTGTAAGACCGTAAATGTAATTACACAACAAATAAGAAATAAAACCTTTAACGGTTAAGCTAGATCTTGGTTGCTTAGATAATTCGATGAATTTATATATACTACATACTTAGTTATTTAAACTGCGCACCGAAATGATTATTTAATTTCGTACACTTGCGAGAGACACGCACGCACTCTTAGAAATCGGATTTTTCCAAATTTACAGAAACCCGCGGTTTAAAGGATTCGAGCCAGATTGAGAATTTACAGGATCAGGCGCAGCTAATGCTTGGACATCACGCACGTGCTCAACAACCAAATAGTCCAGCCCGCTTTGGTAGATTGTTGTTGCTGCTGCCGTTGTTGCGAACAGTTCCAGCTGCAAGAGTGGAATTGATCTATTTTCACAGGACTATCGGCAACACGCCGATGGAGAAGGTCCTTTGTGACATGTATAAAAACTAAATACATTTTAAATACCAAAGGACTTTACTACGAACGTTACATAACAAAAAACGTAAATACATGATGCAAAATCCAAATAATTCAGAGCCAGGACGAGATTTATGAAAGGCAAAATCCGCAATCATCGAAGAAAGACAGTAAAGACTAGCAGACAAAGCTTTTTTTTTTTTTTAAATGAAAGAATCAAGAAGCAGAACGCGCGAACTTCTTTTCGACACGATCAGGCCTAAGGACGAAGTCCTAAGTCCCTCTATAATGATCGTGAAGATTTCGATTGGCGAATATTTCTATCGTACAAACGCGAAGCACTGAAAAGAATGGCTAACGAATAAAACGCTAACGAATAAAACGGCAACTAAAGTGGACTGAGGGACACTCAATTGCGGCGTAAATATACACATATAGATATATACATGTATTTATTTATTATAGATATATTTATCGGGCGTTAGGCTCGACACGTTGATAGCACATTTTCTGTTTTTCATAGAAAGTCGATGAATTAATCCGAAAAGCGGGGATACTTCATTACTAATTTCACTTTTTTTCCTTTTAAATTCATCATTGAATTATCGAATTAGAGAAAAAAGTGATAGGGTGGGCACGAATTTTACAGCTTCGTTAACGTCAAAAACGCAAGTACGGAAATCGATTATTTTACGAAACATATATTTGTGAATTCGTATTAAGATTATTTAAAAAATTAACTCAATTAAAATATTTCTTTTTCTTTTTTGCTCACAAACAAATTTATGCATCAGAGATACGATTAATAAATCATATACAGTCAAAATTAAATTACATTTTGAAATAACTGAAGCGGCAATATGAATTCATAAAATTTAATGTTGCGTAACATCAATTAAAATCAAATTATTTCCATAATGAAAATAATTTTGTTTATAAAGATGTGTGAAATTGATTTTTCTCGGCGATGAATGCTCGTCCGCACTTTCTCTGTATATTTCGTGTTGTGATACTATTTGCTGTAAAACGTATTCTCGGTGATATATATATACATATATATATATATTGTAACGATTACTTGTAATAAAAATAAATCCGATTAACTAAGTTATCATCACTGACTCACAACTCTTTCATAGACTACTTACTACTACTGTCTTAATTGTTACTATACATGTTCGTTAAAATAAACTACATTAGCTTTAGCAATATTGATTAAATTTTAGGTAAGCATCAATTTTAGGTAAATCTCAATTTATTCATAGTGTAAAAATGCAAAATGACAATATTAAAAGTAATATGATATATAAGCTCTTTATTTTTTACATATAAGTAAATTAAATGTAAACTAAAGAAAAAAAATAATTACAATACACAAGATAAAAATATATTTTGAAATAAAATTATAAAAAAAGAGATACACAGCAATAAACTGGAAGAACTACTAATACAAGATATAATAATGCACCATTTAATAATACACCATAATAAATTAATTAATAATTAAAATAAAATTTAGAAGCAAAAGTATAAGTCGTATTCCCTGAACGGGAAGTAAAAACTCAAAAATTATCGGTGTGAGGTATTATCAGTGTTTGGCGAGGAGGAATAAATTTTCAGGAGACCTGTGAGCCTTTCAAGACATGTTTTGACTTTGGTGACTACAACGTAACAACGTATATTTGCACCGACACAACTCCTTCATGGAGGATGTTGGATAATGTACATATTTATTTATCACACTGCATAATCCCTGACTTCCCCTGCCGACGAGGATTTTGCCACATGGCAGTTTGACGGTCCCCGGCGGAGTTATCCCCTCGGCTTATAAATTACATCGAGGCTTGAGCGAGGTTTAAGGGTTTGCTTAAGTTGTCAAAGCAATCGGGGAGTTAA